TATGTAAAACAGTGCATGTTACAGGCGGGGATTTACTCGCTTGTCCATTGAAATTGATGATTTTTTTTTAAATGCATTGACTTAGGCTCTTGTGCTAAGTACTGGTAAACTCTGTCAGGGCTCATTGCCTGAATGGCCAATGTGGCAGGTAGGGCAATTCATTAAAGGAGTTTGCACCCGGCAGTTTTCCATCTTATTATGCCACATCCTTGATGCCAAGATGTAGCTTTGTGGCTGCAATCAGTGATTCTATGCCAACTGATCTTCCGGGTGTCATGCATTTCACCCTGAATGTCTTATGCTCTATTTGCATCCAATTCCCTTTAGCTCCAGAGTTGTGGCAGCGATGTAAAGCCCGTTGAACAAGCTGGCCAAACCCGGTCTATCCATGGCTCTGGTCCCCAATGGTGGCACCCGGCTGACACATCTCTTGGTTGCTATTTTTCCACATACTAGTTATTTACCTAGCTGCAAATGCCACTAAGCCGCTAAATGCCGCTTTTGGTAGAAAGCCATTTTTCCTTTGCTCTCAGATCATGTCTTCTTTCCTTCTGTTTTATCTTATCTGTCTTTCTCTTCCTCAATGCACCTACCGTTTTCTCCTCTCTTATCATATCATCATGCGTAAAACTATCTGTCTCTTGCTCTCCGGGGGAATAGGCTGACATTTACAATCGGATATTGTAGTCATTTGCTTGCCCTAAAGTACATGGACATACAGAGCCCTACTTTGCACTTCAGACATGGGCAAATATCAGCAACTACAATCTCAAACTGGAGTCTCGAGCATATGACTGTGTGGTCTGCATTCATGAATGTGTTCTACCCTCTTGTCACAAACTACACTGAGCAAACGTGCACTATTGTAGGTGTGTTGCACATGTAACCATGTATCAGGTGTATCATATCAGTTCCAAAAACACTACCCCAAAGGTGATACCGATTCCAATAGAGTAGTTCATTTGATACCCATCATATGACTTCACCACACCACAGACTACATGAGTTGTAGCTGCTATGGGCTAATCACACATCACATTGAATCAAAGAAAGCTTGCTGTGAAAGGGGTTGAATTCAGGTATATTTCATGTTTCAAAATGTGCTGAAGCAGGTGGCATTGTGATATTTCGATGAATTATTGATGGATATGATCCTAGATCTCTGTGCTGCTATTTAATCATCTCAAAGCAATAAATCACTGACGTGTTTTACTACTGCTGGTAAAGGTGAGTTCCTTTAAGATGCTTAAATATGGGAAAACAGACTCTGACAAATTTATTGCCAATAATTTCAAGGTTGTTGCCCAACCCAAATTCCCGACTCAGCCCTAAAAGTCCAAACATAAAAAAATGTGTTAAAGAAATGCAGCATATATACAGTATGTATAAAGAACCAAAGATGAAAGTAATGATACAATGTCACAATATGTTGGATTCACTACAACAGCAACCGACATTTCCCTTTTCACTGCTGTGTCCTTGATTTTTTTGTTGTCCTCTCATCACCATGTCCTGTCCAACATTCCTATTAACGATTTAAAAAATGGAAAGTCTTCCGAAAATGTGTTTTTAACCGTAGTTACAATTCATTAGATATTGTAGCTAACAATACAAAATATTTCTTATCCTAAAATGTAGTCTTTGTTGACAGCTATACACTTAAAGGAAGTAAATCAATACCATGATAACTGAACACATTATTTAGCTTTTTCCATTCATAACAGAATGACCTATCTATCATGTTTGCTGTTGTGTGTGTGTGTGTACAAGATAGTACACTGCAGAAAATCTGCTGCTGTCATCCATCATTGAACTGCTTTAAGTTTGACAAAGAAAGTGTTTTAAACAGCCTTGATGATGAACTCTACTACAGTGTAATATAGACTTTGGTATTCACTCTCAGCCTAGACCTAAAATGCTGGTGACTATAATGGTCTAGTTTGCATGAAGAGGTCTCATTATCCAGATTTTGTTTTATGAACATTGCAATTGAATTCACCCAAATCTAAATAAATGTTAAAAGGCTGAAAGTCTAATTATATTGTTAAATTATAATAAAAGTAGTATAGCTGGATCTGCAATTGAACGCCCCAAGAATCCAAGCAGCATGCTAAATATTTAACTGGCAGTCAAATTGATTGCACTTGTGGTAAAATGTACAGAACAGAAGCAGACAGATAATTCAAATATTGAACATATACTGTACAATGCAAAAGGCATCTCTAGTCTTAATGTTCATATGTTCTTGTGTATGTGCATGTGTGTAGAGAGAAAGAGGGTCTTGTTTTCATAAGTCAAGGTGCAAGAATACTTTCTGAGACACTTGACGCATGACCCAAAGATTTCTCCCAAATTCATGACCAGATGCTGCTGCATGAGAGGTGCACCTATGGTTTCAAAAGGAGATAAGCAGGAACACATCACTAGGTGGGCTGGCATGAAATCAGCTGTAATGTAGTTGTAATGAACACTTGCATGGCTGTGAATGTAACCCCTCATGCCCACATATGCTATGTAACACAGTGGAAGTATGTATATAAAGTTATTTTTTAAATGACTCTGCCCAACCCCATTTTCTTTGGACACTCCCCTCTCCTATACATCACTGCCCATTTCTGTGGCGGTGAGCCAGTTACCTAATGCTAGTGGATTTTACTACTATGCCAGTGCACGGCCAATGTGCCAGAGACCTCATTACGTTTTGTGTGTGTTTATAAGGGAGAACCTGTGTGGCAGTGTGTGTGTGTATATCCTGTCAAAACAGGCAGGGATGCAAAATATGGACCAGGAGGGAGGCTGCAGACCATTTTCCAAAAAGAAACACACACACACACACAAACTCTCATTATGATCCTTTGATGATGCTATTTTGTTCCTTGTGAGCCCACCTATGACACAAAGTAATGGGGCTAACAAGCCATCAGCCCATGAAGGTAACATGGCTTTGACTTTCACCCACAATGTACACATCCAGATACAGCATATTGTACATACACATGCACAGAGGCACAGAATTCCCTTTCTTCTAGATCTGACTCTCCCTCACACACACTCAAACACACACACACACACTTACACTTACACTGTGGGGCATGACAAAGAGCTATTGACTGCCTACCTGGCCTGACAGACCATTCACAATTCCTCTCTGTGTGAAACTTTATGTACTGGAAGAGGTGAGTGTGTTTGTGCATGAGTGAGTGAAAGGTGCGAATTGAGAGGGTGGAAGGAAAATGACTTCATGACCGTGTGTGTGTGTGTGTGTGCGTGTGACAGGAATATATATTTTTGTATTTGTTCTAGATGACTTTTGCTGCCTTTTTGTGTGTCATGCATACAAGTATACCACTGTAGTCGCGTTCTCAGATTTTCTCAGATGGGCCTGGACAGAGCAGCACTATAGCGCTGACTATTTTCCTCTTGGCCTTTCCAGGTCGTTGGATCTACAGTTCACTCCACTAGACAGGCGGAAGTATGTTTTTCGACTCAACGTCTACGTGATTGCATTCAGCATAATGTGCTGCAGAAAAGGCCATCAAAAAGCTGCTGTATTTTCCATTCAAATGTTCATCTATTTTTTAAGTAATGTATGATTTTCACAAATGAGCATCTCAAAGCTACATTACACGATCAACATGTAACATTCGGGCATGAGATTGAAGGAACCAACATCCATTCATGTACTACAGGAGTTGAAGAATTGTGAGTTGTATTAATTCCATGGTCATTGCAGACACACCTGGCGCACCACTCTAGTTTTAAAATGTTTTATTGAGTCATGTGACTTGTTGCCGAAAGACAACGGAGCAATCGTGAGTGACAGTTGACAGCTGCAATGCAAGATAATGTACAAATCCATAGTCTTCAATTGAATTCACTAAAGTGCAGTAAATAATTATTGATAAGCAGTCCCAGACTCATTATGGAGAAGCAGATCATCAATGTATTTTGTCCCTATACCATTCAGTGCTTTATAAACCAACAGTTATAACAATTTTAAAGTCAATTCTTTGACACACAGGAGGCCAGTGTGTAAATATCTGAGAAATGGAGTGATGTGATCCACTCTCCTGGTCTTCTCTGGGTCTTTTTAGAGAAACATTATTACATTGGTAGTGGTAGTAAGTCAAACTTAGACTTTAGTCCATGACTACACACAGATTTCTGGCTTGATTCGTGCTCTTTAATGTTAGTAATTGAAGCTGAGCACTAACTTGTAATCGTTTTTCTATGGGTCCAAAGACAGTCCTTTCAGTTGTATCTGTATTTAAGTGAAGGAAATGTTGGCACATCCAATGACTGATTCTTGTGATGCACTTGTCACCTGGTGATGTTATATACATTTGAGTTATCTTCAAAATGAAGGCAGAATGAGACAGATCAGTGCCTTTATTGGTAAAATCTAATTATGGAGAATCTGATCTACTGGGAGCGGTGCAATCCGCCATTTAACTTAATTACCAAACATTTATTTTTTCCTCTTTTCTAAATAAATGATGCATCCGTATCTGGCTAAAAGTCCAGATTGCTTGTTATCATGGACACTTCACAGTGCACTCTTGACAGTGCTCGGGAAGTCAACAATGCTTTGAATGGCCCCGTGGTTCAAGTCTGACTGACCTGACTTAGTGCTTGACCCACAAACAGCTTCCCTTAACCTCCTGCTAGGCCTTATGTTTCTGCTCTTGTGAGCAAGTCTCCTTTTGACAATGAATGTGGAAAATACAAGACTTCTGACTTTTCAGCCGAGAGTACTTGAATTTAAGAAGGTCTTCTCCGAGTCATTTGTTTAACATTTAATTAACAATGTTGTGATTTAGTACTGCTTCAACCACTCAATGGACTTAAATGCTGAACATAACTGTTTGCTCAGCATTAGAGCATATTTTCTAATTAATATGAAATATACTAATGTTCACTGTTTTCTCTTTTTCTTCATTCTATCCATTTCCCCTCTCTCCTATTTCTTTCTCACGTTCACATTCTTTCTCTGTCCACAGAGAAGTGCGATGAGGCTCTAGCCTCTCCTCTGCCTCACACAGCCTTCACCAGCTCGTCTGTGTTCTCCAACGGATATGCACCCGGATATGCCAAGCTCAACAGGAGAGGAGGTAGACACCCACTCACACACACACACACACATACACAAACATACACAGAGGAAGATGTCGATGCGCATGCACTTTCTCTCACACACACACATACATGATTGATATACATAGAGGGAAGTTCATACATGCATGCTGCAGAGAGAGGAACGAGTAAATATCTAGTTCAGGTATGTCGACATACATCCTTATGAATGATTGTACAGATGACACACTGAGAGTTAAATGTCCAGTCTGCATAGAGAGACATGCTTCGTAGTGCTGCACAGCTGCTCTCACCCTCCTCCACCTCCTCTTTTGCTCTCTCTATTTCCTTTTTTTCTTATTCTTCTCTCCCTTTCCGTTTCTCAGCTCCAGTCATTATCTCAGTGACTCAGACTGGAGCTCATTTCCACATCAGTCCACAGCAGACAGAGATAGGACCAGACAATTACACCCCTCTATGTATTATACAATTAATATTTCATACATTTCCATCTAATAGTCACACCACAGCTGAGGCAACAGAGCTCAGAGCTGGCAAATAAACACAAGGTATGCTGGTGTATTTAATCATATCAATAGAAATATTGCTGAGAGAGGACAGGACTGCTCCTCATTTAACAGTGACACCCAGCAACAAGGGGCAAAGAAGGAAGAGAAGAAGGAAAGAAATAAAGACAAACTTGTCAATGATGAGTGTAAATATACAGCTTGTGTATTCTGACCCCACATGCTTTCATTTATCAATCTCCTCAAGGATGGAGGTGCTTTGTTTAATTGGTTGAAGCATTTAAATCCAGTTCTCAGGGCTTATTGTTGTACAGAAAAGCTACAGTAACATATAGATCCAGTGTTAAATGCACTTACACAAGGTATAATAAGTTTCCATATTTGTATTCTATTATTAATGAAGTAAGGCTGTCTCTAAAGTTATTTATTTCTAAAATAGCTTCGGACAAGTTTCATGAAATTTATAGATCAATCTGCCGATGTGTAAATGATGTCTCTTAGTAAAGAACATGTTTTCGATAAGTTACTTACTTCAAGGCAGATATGATTACTTCTCAGAAAGAAATACAAGACGCATTATCCAGCCTAAACAACTTGTTTAGGTGTAAAATGGTTATACAGTATATCCAATATAACTGCTTCTGTATGGCTGAGCAGTGCATAATCTTACTGCAAAGAGAAGGAATACTCAGCTATCTCCCTTTTCTAAAACCTGTCAATTTGGGCTTGTAATTAGGAGCCCAACATGTTCTAGTGACACCTAGTTCTAACACATCTCCAAAGTGAGATGACATGACATGACACTCAGAACCACCACTGTGATAAACTATGTCAGACTTTGACACAAGTGTCCCAAAATGGATACATACTGTACCGAGGCAAGTGTCAAAGTAGCGGGGGGGGGAGGAATGAGGGAAAAGTATGAAGTTTCATCTCATCCTCTGCGTCTTGGTGTCCTCTAAAGAATGACAATGTGTTTTTATGATGAGGTCATCACCTTATTAGCATACAACATCTGACAAGGGGGAATATAAAATAAGATAAGTTCTGCAGAAAGGGACGATGAGGTTACACCTCATCGAAAAAAGTTCTTCACAAGGATTAGAAATATGTCAGAAAATCAACTTTTCTTATAACCAAATTCTCATTTTATCTGCTGTGAAGGAAGATGCTGCTCAAAATTGAAATCCGCATTGTTATTTCTTGTCAGTTTCTGACACAGAATACAAAACAGAAACACAGACATCTATGAGCGCAAAAACACAATCATATCTAAATATACACGTTCAGACGGTGACACATTTGCAGGAAACACTCCCCGAACGAAGGACACATGAACACTTTCGCAGAAACACTCGAAGGCATAAAATAAGTCGACGCATAACTTTCACAGGAACACAAGCATCTCAAAAACAGTACTGTCCCACACACTTGCACATGTATCAATGAAAACACAAACGGCTACTGCAGCATGGAACTGCTCACATTCAACACCCATTTACAGTCACAAAAACACAGGATCACAAACCCATGCCCACACAGTCGTACTATAAAGAGGGGTCCCTCCAAGCAGTTACATTTGGCAGCCAAATGTGCCATCAGTGGCATGAGTGTGTGCTGATAAGCCAATCTTCTCCAATTTCCCACTACTATGGAACAGGGGAGACACAAAATCAATGGGACACACCACTCATATTAAGCTTGTGTTGTGAACGCTGACGGCTATTCGAGTTTTAGGCTATAGGATTGTGTGTGTCCAGGTGTGTGCGTCTGAATCTATGTTCATTCCTGGGTGCACGTTCGTCTATGTATGTGTGTGTGTGTGTGTGTGTGTGTGCGTGAATAAGAGAGAGGGAGAGAGAGAGAGGTAAAATGATCGCGTAACGATTTTAAAGCAGGCAGCTGTCTGCTGAGTGCCAGCCAGTCACCAGGCCTCTAGTCCCAACCCTGCTGGTTCATTTGACTGCTGTCACACATACGCTGCATACTGTGCTCTCCATCCATGTGTGTGTGTGTGCGTGTTTTGTATGAGAAACTGTATGTTTTTAAGAGAGTATTTGTGTATACCTATATTGGAATAAGGTTGTGCACATTAGTTTATTCATGTGTCTATTTGGAAGAAGGAGCCGGCTAAATGCTCCGTGTCTGGCTCCTGAAACACGTTCTTTACTAACAGACTCATCATCATAATGCTAAATGCCCTTTATCTTTGTTTCTAAAACACAATCACTCACTCACAAGCTGTCTCTCTATGTAACATGTTGATTGTAAACTTACACCATGGTGTCTTTTTAAGACCAGCTCAGTTTAATTGCCTCTGGCTTTTGAAGACAGAATAGATTGATGGAGACGTTCTTCTTCGCTCTCTCTCTTTTACCCCTCCCTCTCTCCATATGTTAATATCTAATTCTCACCATCCTTCTTTATTTTTTTTCCCCCTTTCTCTCTCGTTGTGGTGAGTCTTCCCTACCTCTCACCATTAATTCTCCCCCCCCCCCCCCACCGTCTCAGCTCATGTATGAGACCCTGCTCATCTCAATAGTGTCAGGCAGAGGGCAAGGTGGGCCCACTATTGCTGCCAAAACCCTTGGGTCTATTTGCACAGAGTGAGCGAGAGAGAAATATAGATGAGGGAGAGATAGAGACAAAGAGAAATTAGATGGCGTCTAATGAAATGTAGAGAAGGTTCTTTCCATCACATGTCTTCAACTTTTCCCAACCACATAGGATCACTTGGTTGGAAAATGGGTCACAGAACATGTTCAACACTGTCATTTAGCACAGACCTTAATCAAGCTAAATTATTTGAGAAACAGGAATGGCCAAATGTATGCTACAGAGGCCAGATATCTAAACCCTATGCAGCAAGCCCAAAACATTCTGGATTCTACATTTCCCATAATGCATATCAATAGCATCCGTCATTTATGGACCTCGAAACACAGTCGTGCCAGAAAAGGTTTGAAAAACAAAAAAAGGCGAGGAGCTCCATATAGCTTTTCAACAGTGACATACATTAGCTGCGATCTGCACCCCACTCAAGGCTTTGTTCAGTGCTGCCAGCCGGAGAGTGCTGCCCTGTGGATACAAGCTGAAATAGAGTGGGCATGGACAGACTGAAGGCTAAAGAGAGAGGAGGGGAGGGAGGAACGCAAGACATGGAGACAGACTGGAATGGGCAAAAGGAACAATGTGATAAGCGATGTGAGCCATGGTTGACAATTTGAGCTCAAATTGTTGAATGTTGAAATTCGACTTCAAATTTGACAAAGCGATCTCAAACTTCAAGTCTTGTGTAATCGCAAAAACAATTTCCATGTGGGTGCATTTTTATTATCCCTGCCACCATGGAACTGCACCTGATAATGTGTTATTTTGACATTCATGGAAACGTGTCATTGAAGTGGTTTCGGCTTTGGACAGAGTACCAAAATAATGAATACTTTTTGTGTGTGAAGAAAGTAAAAGAGGAATGGGTGGAATGATTTTGTGTGTCCGTAAATATCCCTGCTGCCGTGCGTGCATGTGAGCATGCAGATACTATGCATGCCCACGTTGCTGCACAGCGCAGATATGGCCAAGCATGACATTGGGCTGCTAATGACAAACACATGGCCACTGATCTTTATTTTCAATTTTCTCTTCTCCTCCTCTCTCTCTCTTCATCCATCTCCCTCTGTGTTTCTCTCTCCTCCACTGTGGCAGGTCTCTTCCTGCCCTCCATCACATCCGTGTCTCCCCTTTCTTCCTCTCCATCTCGTCTTCCCTCCATACTCTATTTTCTACAGTAACAGTCTCAATGCCACACTTCATTTTCTCAGCCTCTTCCCTCTTTCTTCGCAGAACTCATTATCTATTTTTTTCTTCATTCACATTCCCACCTTGATACTTACTTTTCAAAGTTTGAAAAAGTGTCCCTGCACCCCCCCCCCTCCCTCCCTCTCCCCCGTATTCAAACACAGAATGTCACAGTACTGCAGTACAACTGTGATCTGACTTGCTGCACAATTAACCAGATTGCCCGCCCCTTTATTATGCATTACTTTTCACTCTGTCATCTGGCAAAGTTTTTTGATGTCTCTCGTCGTTGCAGTCATCCTTCGATAATGTCGGTCCGCTCCTAATTAAATTACTTTGTCTTCATCTGCTCCCTTTGCTCCATGACAGAGAGATGAAGTACTAGCAGAGGGCTAACCAGCTGTTTTCTCAGTGCTCCCTTTTCCGGCGGCCTAGTATCTTAATTAATTAAGATACTTTCTGTTAATGTGGTTGTGGTTGTTATGAAAAGAGGCAACTTTGATAAACATACTCTCGCATGTTCTCTCGGGTGCCGGAACACGCAGACATAAAGGCAACACACCACGAGCCACCCGCCTGCTCAGAAACAATTTCTGTAATGTGTGCGTGCCCACCCACACACTCTCCCACACCAACAGCAAGACCGAGGGGAGATGATCACTTGTTTGATGCTCTGCTTTGCCACTGTCACTTTTGTCTGTGTGTCATGCCTG